TTTTTTTTTTTTTTTTTTTTTTTTTCTTAAGTGTAACAATGCATCTGGGAGCTGTGCTGCTATGTACTCTGCTGAGGATAGGTGTTCCTGTATCACTACATTTAATTTTATGGATTCCAGAACAATCACAGATCTAATGAATGGTTTTAACTGCAAGAAAACTGCAAACTGGGGTAGCAATTACATGTTTGATCCTTAAAGCCTGGTCAGTTTAAGTGCTTTTAAGTTGTGGAGTGACTTGCCTTTACAGTTTTATATGAGGACTGCATAAGTATGGAGTCTGTTTCTTCCCTTATATATGTTACTTGCTTCTAGAGGGGAAGTTCTCCATACAGTTGCTTCACTGTGTGCTGTTTGTAATAAATCTTAGACAAAAAGTGGTTTTTAGCACACACAACTCTTCTCCTTTCTCTCTCACTCAGAATGTGCAGAAGAAACTTAGTAATTTGAAATAGTGCTTTAGTATGAGAAACTTTCATTACAGTGGTAGCTGCAGCTAAATTGAAATAGTTCAGCTCTGGTAACTTACAATACTTTTGTCGTCTCTAACCAGGAGATTGTAGAAACATACGAAATAACGGAACCCATGATTAGCCCTCCTTATCATAGAAATGAAGATGAAATGGAGATAGCTTAATTCTTCAAGTAAGTTCTTTCCATAAATCAAACTAAGTAAGGATACAGTGCGTGAGTTCCTTGAAGAACTGCGGGGAAAATACCTGTGACTTACAAATGTAGAAAAACATATAAGCAGGGTAACTGTAGAATGTCTGGAACACTTCTATGTTTTTGATCTCTTCATGGAATGAAATGTAATCTAGTCTTCTACACTGTAATTAACTGAAAAAACCTGTTTATTTCTGCATTTGATGGTCAGTTAATTGATAGACTTGAGTTAACATTTGGAACTTTATAGTTGTACTTGGAATGCGATCCTGTGAAGAATCATGGCTTAGTTTTTGTACTTTTTTTTTTTTTTTTTAAACCTACTGACAGCTAATGCTGTTAATAGAGTAGTCTGAGGAAGGACTTAGGGAAGCAGGAAGGGAAGACAACCTGGTTCCCTCTAAAAACCTTTAAACGATAAGATTGAATTCTTTTATTGTCACAGTTGTTTGTTAAATTTCAAATCTTAATGCATATTGTCTTACTGTTTTTTTTTTCTTTCCCCCTAGGTGCCTTAAAGAAAATATTTTAAAATGTTTCCTTCAGAAAAGATTTTATATGTATATATTGTAAAATTAAATTTATTTTTATTGGAACATCTCGACACTATATAAGCTGTCTTGATTATACCTGTCACAGGGTTATTACCATATACTTTCTATTTATTATGGCTTAGTTTACTGCTTGATATCAAGTTTACTGACACTCACAAGCTTTCCTAAAAGAAATGCTATCCCCCTTCTTTCATCCCTTGTCTCTCCCCAACAGCAGCCTGCAAGTGGCATTTACATGGTTAACCATCTCCACTGTGATAATCTTATTATCTAGACGGTCTTGGGTGCTGCAGAAAGAATTGATATTGTCTTTCTGTTCTTACTCCTCTGGAAATCAAGGTTTGAGTTTGGAAATTTAGTCTCAATGACGGATAAAAACTCCTCTATCCTTTTCTTTTTTCCTAAGTCCATCCCGTGTAATCGGTTTTGTAACCGAGGCAGGACTGCTGTACTGGGCCATGACATTATTTTCTTCAAAACAAATAAAGTCTAGCTCCATCTCCAGAACACGCTCTTGGGAGGGCTGCTGTCGCCGGAGTATTTAGGATTTCTCCCCTCCTTTGATCGTCAGGCGGGGTTTCCGATGAAGCACCCCAGGTGCTGCACTGTCCGGCCCCTCGCACCCCTAGGGCGTTTCTGGGGGGCGATGGAGCATGGTCGGGCTGCGGGGGTGCACGGAGGCGCAGCCTGGCCGCCGCGGCTCAGCTACCCCAGACCCGAGCTGTGCGTTCCTGCGGATCCAGCGAAGGGGGGGCGGCCCCG